TCTGTGGGGAAAAAATTACAAGAAGTAGGAATGCAGTGTTAGAAGGTATGGCCGTGTTTCTCTGCTAGTGACCTTCAGGGCTGGGGAATTCTTCGTTGTTCAGGACTGTCTTGCTTATAGTAGCCTGTTCACTGGGGCTACCCTTCCCCTGCTTAATGCCAACCACACCCTCTAGCCTCAGAGGTTAGCTAATGTGTGCCCTCTTACCTTTCCAATGGCTGCTATCTATCAAAATGTACTAACTGGTTTTTTGTAGGGAATTGGTTAGATAAATTATGATCTATCCTTACAATTAGCTATCATTTGTCCTATACTTAAGCCTTCTTGTGTGCTAGGTCCTGTTCTGAGTACTTTAAATATTAATATGCCTTTGATCTTCAGGACACTCCTGTCAGATAGACGGTGTTGTTACATTTTACAAATGTAGAAACTGTTGCATCCAGAGGTTAAATAATTTACCAAAGTCCACCCAGCTGATGGGCATGGAAGCTAGGAGCTGAACTCACCCAGTCTGACTCCAAAGCACCCGTTTGGCCATTCTGCTATCCTCTCTCTTAAGAAGTGTGCGTCACAACACAATGTGAATGTATTTAACATGACCAAACTGCACATTTAAAAATGGTTAACATGGGAATCTAAAAAACAAAAAGAAAAGAAAAGTAAAAGACAAATGAACATAAATACAAAACAGAAACAGACTCATATACATAGAATACAAACTTGTGGTTGCCGAGGGAGGAAGGGGTGGGAAGGGACAGACTGGGAGTTCTAAGTTTGTAGATACTGACAGGTATATATAGAATAGATAAACAAGATTATACTGTATAGCACAAGGAAATATATACAAGATCTTGTGGTAGCTCATGGTGAAAAAGAATGCGATAATGAATATATGTAAGTTCATGCATAAATAAAAAATTGTGCTCTACACTGGAAATTGACACATTATATACTGACTATAACTCAATAAAATAAAAATTTTTTAAAAAGATACTAGGAGAGTGGAGCCTAAAAGTTTTCATCCCAAGGAAAATTTTTTTCTTTTTTTTTTCTTTTCACATTTTTTGTATCTATACGAAATGATGGGTATTAACTAAACTTACTATGGTAATTCTTTCACAATTTATGTAAGCCAAGTCATTATTCTGTACACCTTAAACTTGAGCAGTGCTGTGTGTCAATTATATCTCAATAAAACTGAAAAGAAAAATAAATAAATATATCCTTAGATTTAAAAAAAATGGTTAACATGGCCAATTGTATGTTATACGTATTTTAACCACAATTTTTTCACAAAACCTGTTTTTTAAGAACGGGGGAAAAAGTGAGGCAGACCTATACATCTGAATCTGGAGAGAAGACCATGAAGAAGTAGGTGATAAGGGAAAGGGAGAACAATATGAAAATAACATCAAACCTAAGATTTTAGAGAGAATTTAGGATTATTGAGTATGAAGCACCTTCCAGACAACCTAAAATTTGGTTTTCCATGCTTATCATTTGCAAACTGTCTTCACAATTTCCGCCTTATCCGTCTACTGCCCGTATAATTTATTGGACTATTTCTTTAAAATCAACATGCTTTTCCTCTATTTCATCAAAGAAATAGTATTAGTGCAATCAAAGTTTAGTTGCAGATTTTGTGTGTGTGTGAGGAAAAAAAAAGTAAAATAAAAGGAAAGTTTCTGTGTGGACGACCTAAAATCCCAGGGTGCAGCACACTTTGGGGATTTTGGATTCAACACCGCATTTTCTTTTTGCAGAGGAAGAAGCTGAGGACCAGAGAGGCTTTCATGACACAACTGAGACCACACTTCGAGTTGGCAGTGAGTCTTGATGCAGACCTTGACCACGTACGTGACTTTCAGACTTGCGCCCTGTCCAGAGCTGGAGACCAGCTCTCCCAACCGCCTGCGCTCTTGTCTCCTTAGGTATCCCAGCAGCCTGTCAGACTCAGCCCTGAACAGAACTCATCTTTCCCCTCTCAAAAGCTGTTCCTCCTCTTGGCTTCCATTATTGCTACCCAGACACCAGGCATCAACATGGTTCTTGGACTCCTGTGTTCAAGTTGCCTCGGAGCCTGTTAGGATCACTCCCTCCTTATCTGATCTCTCAGTGACAGTCCTGGTAAATCCAAGGACAGTCAGCTCACTCGCGTCTGAGCTCTCTGTATGTTTTAATTTTGTCGTATTTATTACATACTCTCTATCATACTCATTTTTTCACACATCTTATCTGTAAACTTTAAGTTTCTTTTTTTTTACATAATTTATCTATATGTTTCTCTTTTTTTAAGATTTTTTTTTTCATGAGGGGAGGAAGGCAGGTTTAACCTATGTATTTATTTTAATGGAGGTACTGGGGATTGAACCCAGGACCTCACGCATGCTAGGCATGCACTCGACTGCTGAGCTATACCCTTCCCACTGTAAACTTTTTTTTTGAGGGAAGGAATTTCATAATCTTTTAACCTCTAGTTTCTCACACATGTATAGAGTGTACTAGACATGTTTGAATGAGTGAATGAATCAATCAGTGGGTGAATGAGTTACTACAATTAAGGTGAGGTAAAAGCAGCATGGGGAGTTATGATTTTAAAATAATCCTTTGGTTAATATTTCAATGGCAAATTTTTAGAAAACAACTTAAATGTAAGCTTTCTTGCTGGTTTATGACGCAAAGGCAGTCTTAGTCTACACTCAGCTGACCTTGGCTCCACTTAAGAAATATAAGATATTTCTAAATAAAAGATAGCTGTAAAAATCCAGTTTATTATTGGCCACACATGATTTATAATGAAGGTACCATCTGTCAGTCTAACAATTAACCTGCTTGAAGTATAAGCAGGAGGAAAATTAATAAATATGTTGATTATTCTTTCAGGCTATGGACACTGCCAGCAGTCAGCTTTTAACTCTTACAGCAGCAAAAGCATAAATCTATAATACTGTTTTATGACATGTTATTAACAAATTAGTAAACTGGGAGGCTCTAGAATTATGTTCTTGAATATTCTTTGTCTTATACTAATTACAATTCCAGTTCCTTGTTTCTTTGCTCAGTTAGCTCTTGTATAGTTAAAATCAAACTTAAATGTCACCTCCGACGTGTTGTCTTCTTCCTGGGGAAGAAGTTAGGCACCTTCATCAGACTGTCACTCGGGTGACTCTGATGCAGGTGGTCCACAGGCCACACTTTGTGTAGCCCCACACAAGCCTCCAAGTGTTTCAAGGATAAGAGTCATTTTATTCATTTGTATCTCTAAGACCTGTATAGACTATGTGCTATACGTAGACACATAACCAAAGTACAATCTGTTAGTCGAACATTAACCTATTTGTAGTTAAGAGAGTATAATCTGATACAATGAATGAATACATGTACACTGAGTGAATGACCTCAGCTACTGTGTGTGTGTGCATGTGTGTGTTGTGAGAACACCCATCCAAAACCCAAACCTAAGTTGTGTTTTTAATACAATTCTATAAGGTGGGGAGGGTATAGCTCAGTGGTAGAACACAGTGCTTAGCATGCACAAGGCCCTGGGTTCAATCCTGGTACCTCCGTTAAAAATAATAATAATAATAAATAAATGAACAAACCTAATTACCCCCCCAAAAGAAAAAAACAATTCTATAAGAATTGTTTCTTGCTATTTGCCTTAGTATGCAGTATCAGGATTTCTTACTATTTTTTTCCCAGCATCAGTACAGTACAATTTATTTTTTAAGATACCATTCACTTACTTTGTAAAACCCAATTCAAAATAATATGCTTTCACAATTTAAAAAAATGGGGACCAAAGACTCAAAGAGGAAATACAAATCACCTCTAGTCCCTCCTCTGAGAGATGCCCGCTGTTCACAGATGGACACATGTTATGGTTGAATTATACATAGCTGTACTTTATATTTTTTAATTAAAAAATTAGCTTTTATTGCTTCTCTTTAGAGAAGATATTCAAGAATGGAGACGAGTTTCAGACACCCTGTAAGTTCTAAAGAGTGATGACATGTTTGAAGACCAAGTACTTTTTCAGTTAGTTTCCTAATTAAACATTTTGCTTTGTTCATTAAGGCTCTTGTTCAAGCAGCAGAAACTAACTCTTGCTAAATTAAGCAAAAAGAAGCTTTACCTGAAGAATATAGGGGTCTCCTGAGATTGGAGAGAGGCTGAAAAACAAAGCTTACCCTGGATGGAGATCTGGCGGTCCTGGCCTGGACTTCCACCCTTGTCTGCTTGTCTCTTCTCAAAAATCAGAGTACCAGGAGACAGTGGATTTTGTTTTGTTTTGCTGAACTCAGGTTACATAAAACTAGGTGGACTTGGTGACAGACTGGTTATGGGTGGAGAGGGGAAGAAAGGCTCCAGCAGTGATCTCCAGGTTTCTGGCTCCCCTAAATACCTTGCTAACAGTACCATTTCCTAAGATTAGGAACAGTGGAAAAGGACCAGGCTGGCTAAATCTTGGGAGGGGTCAGATGAATGGTTCAGTTGGGGGCATGCTGAATTTGAGATACCCTGAGACATCAAAGGATGTTAAGTAGGCTACTGGGTATATGGCTTGTGCTGCAGTTTTTCTATCTGCATCTCCAGACCTCCCCTCCACCCTGTTTGCAGCCCTGGGAGACTGACCTGCATCAACAAACTCCCTTTGCTTTTGGCTTCAGATGGGGTTAGTTCAATGGGGAGCAATGGCAGGAGATCAGAGAAGGAGAAGCAGTGAGGTGGGTCACTCCTTGATTTTCCTGGCTTCTTCCCTGCAGAGTTGCTGTGGGTTGGCTGCAACCCTGAACCAGAGGTCACAGCTCTTGTCAGATATGGTCTTCCCCACCAACCCCTCACCCTCCGGAGTCTGGCTGTGCTCTTGCTTGTTTCAGAACATTGTGCTACTTCCGATAATTTCCCTATATTCTGTCCACCCACTCAGATTGCACCAACCTAAGTGTATCACTCATTTCTTCCAGAGTCCTGACTGATACATGAGTACAGAATTCAAAGGGAAGGTTCAGGCTGGAGAGGTATTTTGTGAATCGCCTGTTTATAGATGTAGTAGAAGCTGATGTGGATGGTAAGTTCCTCTGTAGGGGCGCACAGTCAAGAAATGAAGAGTGTTTAGGACTGAGCTTTAAGAATCTCTACCTTGCCTCCCGCTGAAACAGAGCAGTAGGAAGAAAGACCTGATGATGGGAACCTCTGGGGACCCCCTTGGATCCATTAAAGAGGGACTACACACCTGTTCTTGATCATCCACCATGGCATCACACAGCAAGAAAGGGACAATTCACTACAGGGAAATCAGAATGATACTGGGAGAATGGATGCTGGATGGCTGGACCCAACACATACACACACACCCCTACATACTTATGCATGCATATCTACGTAAGTTCATTAAAATGAGATACAAATATTTCTGCTTTGTCAGCAAGATTAATTCTGCTGTGAGTGGCAGAAAATCCAAAATGGTAGTAACATAAAACAAGATAGCAGTTTATTGCCCTATCATGTAAATGAAGCTTGGAAATAGTTCAGGGCTAGTATAGATAGCACTCATGGTGTCAGGGATCAAGCCTCCTTTATCTTGTTGTTCCACCATCTTCAGCATACATGTTCCACCTCATGGTTCAGGATGGCTGCTTGTGCTCCAGTCATCTTGTCTGCATTCCAGCCAGCAGCACATTTTCCAGATATTGCAAATAGCACTTATGTTTATATCTCTGTGGTCAGAACTTAGATATATGACCAATCTACTGGTGCGATACTGAGAAATACCTTTGCTTCAGATGACCATGTACCCAGCTTAAAACCAGGAGTTCTAATATGAAGGAAATGGAGGAGAATGGAAATTGGGACACCACTAGTGGTCTTTGCCAAATACATGATTTTAAAACCTATTTTCTTTTTCATTCAAAAATTTTTCTAACTTTTGATGACTCCTTGCCAGCCATAGCTATACTGTAATACCCTTCCATGTATACTACGTCTTCTAATCCAAAGCACCCATGGCAAATGTTAAATGGCGTCAATGATCCAACACATGGCTAGCACAGCTTAGGAAGATTCCTTAAACCAACCCCGCTCATTCACAAATCTTAAAACATTAGAGTCAGAAGGACCCGGAGAGAACACTCAGTCTGGGAAACTGAGCAGTGACAGATTAAGGCACATATTTCAGGGACGTGCAGCTTGGTGGCAAAAGCCTGCCTCTTGTATCTCTGACTTTCTGTGATTTAAAAATTCTCGAGTATCTTTGATTCATGGGCAGGTTTTACACCCTGCTTTAGGCAGATGTGAATGTGCACATGTTACCCCTGGCTACACATCAATTTCTAGATGGGAATAAACTACCCATCGCTTCTTTTTCTAGGAGGCATATGATGCTGTGGTGAATGGGGCTGTAAATTTCTGCAGGAGATGAAAAATCCCACAGTAGGCACTCATTACCATGTCATTGGACTGCCTGTTCCTATAACAAATACAGTCAATTTTGTTTATGGGCCTGGTAGGGAAGGTAGTCGTTGGCTCAGAGAATTTGGCTCATTAAACCAGAGTAAAGCAACCAAAAAAAATTTTTTTTATCTTAAGCAATGTGAAATAGTAGCAATTCAAAGTCCAGCCAAGGGTAGATTGGGAAGACGGTAGGATGGTAGGATTTTTCTCATTATGTTGGAAATGAAGGCATTTCATGGCTTAAAGGATCAACAACTACTCTGTTTGTGGCAAATTGTATCTGAATTTTGGAGTTATTAAACCCTGTCTAGATACATGGCAAAGAATGTAGCATGGTGAAAGAGCTTTATAATAAAAATAGTATCTAATGCATAAGATTTTTGGTGAGAAACAAATGCAACTGTGAATGATAAATAATATTATCAACTTTAAACTGCCACCAATGTTATTTTAATCAGCATCTTCTTTGTCTCATGGCTCCAGCCCAGATGTCATTTAGCCAGCAGGACTTACATGTATTAGTCTGATATAATTATTAGGTCCCAGAGAGTCTTCGGTTATTAGTCCCAAAGGTGCTATCTTAGCCAGATGGCCAAAAGGTTGTGTGCAGCTCTGTTCAGTGGGAGAATTAATGAGTCATCATGTAATTTCACCCATTTGTGTGGGTAGAAAGTTGTTTAATTTGAACCTAGCATCAGCAATTATAGATATCTCTCTGAAACCCTTTTAAAAGAATCTAATCTTTCTCTAAGATTTTAAAACAGTAACAAGAGTTGAATAATGATAGTGTTACTTTGGTTCCTGGTAAACTGTCCTCTTACCACATTGCTCATTGGTGACAATAGTTGAATGGTGCCAAATTATTACAGATTTTGAATCTCCATATAATAGCTTGCCACATGCTGACTTGTTTACCAATTCTTGAAAATGCCATTGGACACAAAGTTGCAAGTAGAATTATTTCCCCATACTTTATGTAGAAAGAGGCTTCAGAATTTCCTCATGAATAAGATTGTGAAACTGCTGAGTAATAGCTGTATTAGTTATTCTCTGCTGTGTAACAAATCCCCCCAACCCTTAGATGCTTAAAAGAATTCCTGTGGGCCAGAAATCCAAGCACAGCATAGTTAGGTGCCTCTGACTCAAGATCTGTCTGGGTTTGCAATCAAGCTATCGGCTGGGGTTGTGATCTCATCTAACAGCTCAGCTAGTGGTGGCGCTGGGGTCCACCCTAAAGCTCACTCATGTGCTCATTGACAGGACTCCATCACTTGCCATTTGGGCCTTTCCACAGGGCTGCCTCATGACATGACAACTGGCTTTCCATGGGCCAGTGAGCAGAGAGAGAGAGAGAGCAAGAACCAGAAGCTAATCGTTTTATAATTTAATCCCCAAAGTAACACTTCTGCCATATTTCATGTGTTAGAAGTAAGCCAGTAAGTCCAGCACGTAGGACTGGGAAGGAGAACACAAGAGCATGAATATAAGAAAGTGGAGATCATTAGGGATTATCATAGAGGCTTCCTACAACAATGACTCTGGAGTTTTATAATTTTGAAATAATTCTTTGGCAGACGGTTTCCATTTTAATAAATTATTTTGTTTTTATATAGTAACTATTATTAGATATATGTTAATCAAATGAGGCTCTGTGAGGTTAGATACCTGCTGATAATTTTGTAAAATGTGCTTGATATCAGGTCAAGTTTTATGCTACTGGCAGGCACTGAGCCTGTAAAATCTAGATAGTACTTTTAATAGGTTCATTACAGTTCATCTAGTAAATTCTTTCAGTAAATTAAATAATAAACTAATTTTTACTCCTCCCAATTTTCAAACTAATGAACAGAAAGTATATTTTACATGGTAAGAATTTGGCTTATTGCATATTTGGCATGATTGGGTTAAATGTTATATACACTTCCTAAATGTAAGACAAAAGTGTGTGTGTGTTCATGACTTTAATCTCTCAGAGTGTAAATCAATCAGCAGAAGATGTACTAAGATAGAACCAACCAATATCATTTTCCTTTTGCCTGAAGAACTTCATTTAATATTTCTTTTAGTGTAGGTTCTCTGGCACTGAATTGTCTCAGCTTTTATTTATCTGATATTTTCTTTGAGTAAAGCATTCTAATGTGACAGTTTTTTCTTTTCAATGTTTCAAAGATATTGTACCAGTCTCTCTGGCCTGCATGGTTTCTGATGAAATTTGCTCTCATTCTTATCTCTGTTCTCTGTCCATAATGTTTCATAATTTTTCTGGTATTGTCTTTTGAAAGTTTTTATTGAAATATAGTTGAATAGTTGATTTACAATTTAGTGATTCAGTTATATATATATATATATATATATATACACACACACACACATATATATACATACTTTTTCAGATTCTTTTCCATTATAAGTTACTAAAAGATATTAAATATAGTTCCCTGTGCTATACAGTAGGTCTTTGTTGTTTATCTATTTTATATATAGCAGCCTGGAAACTACCTCCAGGCAGTAAACTGATGTAATTGTAGAGCTCACCTTGTTTATTTCCTTTCTTTCAGAGGTCATGGATCTGCTCTGCCTGTCCTCCAATGTGTGAAAACAGTTGTTTCTTATATTTTGTCTCTTTTTCTAGCTGTTTAAGGTGAGAGGATAAATATGGTCCCTGTTACTCCATCTTGGCTTGCAGTGGAATTTTTATGATGAAACCGAAATAAATATAGAATTTTACTTTTAAGAATCATTTAGCATATGGAATCATCTTCATTTTAGGTCTAATTGAACTATGATTAGTGAACTGCCTTTCAAATGTAAAGACAGTGCTACGTGTTGGGGTGCAGTTGCTTTTCTATTTCTTGAATAGAAATTTCACACAGGAAGAGGGCATGTAGAAGGTTTCTGAGAGAGTGGGAAAATGTTATGGAGAGCACGGAAGAAGGTACCACAGCAAAGGATTTGTTGCATTGGCTGGGTTCCTTGATTCGTTCATTCAGCAAGTACTCCCCCCAAACAAACGTTTTTGCCAAGTACCTGTTATCCTGGTTTTCCCACAGGCTGGAGCCAGCTAAGGAGCAGGTGCAGCCAAGTGCAGCTGGAAACTTTGGACTACCTGATGCTTCCCTGGTGCTCAGGAGCTGCTGCGGCTGCCTCCCTCTTTTGATTCTTTGGCTGCCATTTTAAAGGGTCACCACCATCCTTAGATCCAGGTGAGATGATTTTCTGTCCTGAGCCCTGTTCTTTAGACCTCTGTATTTTACAGATACAGGAAACATAAATTTATTTAAAACACACAATGCCCTGTCACTGTGATCCAGAGCTCAGCTCTGATGTGGTACAACATGTCAAGTTATATATCTACTCTCATGACTAATACTGTTCAGGACCCAGGGAAACACTTATCCACAACTTTTCCCCAAAGTCCTTTAAAACAATGGGTGATGGCGTCTGAGTGCCCTGAAGGTCTGTGTTTTACCACAGCAGACATTAGAGGTGGACACTACTTTGGCATGAGGATTTGAGTTGCAAAAAGGTTAGTAACGAGAAGACAAATTAACTATGGAATGCCTCCCCTCAGATAACTTGAATGCAACAGATTCTTCCACAATCAAATGCCATTTTCCATTAGTGCTGAATGTTCTTGTTCTGGCTTCTCCTTATAGTCCAATCTGTGGTTCCAGAGCACAGCATTCTCAGCAATTGCATATGGTGGCTGAGGAATAGTTTGCAATATTAATTTCTGTTATTTTAAAATTTGTTTATATGTAGACCTAGATGTAACATGAGTAAAATGCAATACCAATTCTTTACCATGTCAACTAAATGGATACTAAATGCTGGAAAAATTGCTCCAGTTTGAGTTTTCCAGGAAGCAAATGCCAAGACAGAGAGAGTCAAGTGCAAGAGATTTATGTAGGGGAAAGCCTGTGAAAGAGACAGGGAAGAGGAAGCAGGAGAGGGCAGGAAAAGCCATTAGCCCACAAAGTAGGTGTAATACCTGTGAAAGGAGAGAGGAAAGGAAGGAAGTTTGGGTAGGAGGAGTCTCAGATGGCAGTACAGTTCCGAGAAAATCTTGCCCAGCCTGCAGGGCTCTCTGGTGTGCAGACTGCACCAGAATGGAAGTGTCCTGCATTGAGCAGAGAAGACTAAGCCCTCATCTCCCTGCCTTGCAGCTTCTAACAGCTTCCTGGGGAGAGCATAGCCTCAGCTTGGACACTGAGGCCAGTCCTGCATGCACTGTGGCTGTAGCAGCCATGGACAACTGTGTGCTTCATGGCCATTTTGCTCTTTGAAGGGAGATCTGGGGGGCTCATTTTCATGGCTGGTAAAAACTGTGAATCATTTTATTTTTATGAAAAATTTGGGATTTAACACTATTTTTCAAAAATTAAACTAAAACATCACTTGATTTTGATTAAATTTTTGATAATCACATTGATGAACCTTGAGGACACCATGCCATGTGAAATAAGCCAGCCCCTAAAGGGCAAATACTGCATGAGCCCACTTATATGAGGTGTCTAGAGGAGTCAAACTCTTGGAAATGGAAAGTACAATGGTGGTTGCCAGGGGCTGAGGGGAGTTGTTCAATGGGTATAGAGTTTCAGTTTTGCAAGATGAAAAAGCTGTAGAGGTCTGTTGCATAAAAAGGCGTGTAGTTAAAAATGATTACAATGATAAATTTTATGTCATGTGTTTTTTACCACAATAAACACATTTTGATAAACATGCATTGTAATCAGTATTTTGCCTTCTCATTTTAATAGAACATTTTGAAACAGGAATGAAAAATAATTTTCATTATTTTTGGCCCTTGGCCCCACAAACACAAAGGCCTGCCGAGTTTCCATGTCTGTCAAAACTGGACCTCTCTGCCCTAGGGTCAGTGTAGCAACCTGACCCTAACGGCCTGTGTTTTATGACCTCTTTGCTGTTACAGAAACCTAACTCTTAACTGTAACTTGTCCCAGTTGATTTAAAATGTGCCAGAACCCTGTCTCCTGGCCCAGGCTGGGTCAAATGAACAGAGTGGGGGTAAAGTAGGAGGAATGAAGTCTCAGGGGAGCAGAGCAGGGGGACTGGTAGTATTTGGTACAAATGTTGCCAAGATCAAAATTAGCAATGAAGACTGGGTGTTAGAAGGCAGGAAAAGCATGTTGTCTTCAGAGGAAATTGAACAGGGAACTAAATTACAACCCACAACTGACATATCTGGACTTTTCATTTGTCTTAAAGAGAAAAATAGCATAACAGACCCACTCTTAAGACACGCTTTCAAGTGTCATTTTAAGATACAAAAACAGATCAGGTCATGCTCAGAAATCTTAATGAGAAACCTTCAACTCATTCTCAAGATTTTCATTGAATCAGACCCACCTGGCTCTGTTTCTCTGTTTTCAAAAGGCTAAATGCTTGGCAGGAGGCGTAGGTATGTAGGGAAATTTTAGAATTGCATGTCTCAGAGCAAATTGGTTGTGTTCCGAAAGTGCTGTTAGTGGGAGCATTGAATTATTATTACGTTACTGGGTGAATGAATACAAAATAACAGGCCCAGCTGGGCAGCATCCAGATGGCAGCCCTTACATGCTGTTTGGCTTTGGAATAGTCCCTTGACCTCTCTGTGCCTTGAGTTCCTCATCTGTAGCAAGGAGGGATAATGATAGTTCTTATCTCATTAGGCTACTTTGATGAGGAAATGAGGTTATACATGGGAATAAAATACTAAATGGGGCCTGGCACATACCAAGCATTCAATAAATATTATTTATAATGATTATTTCTTTATCCATGTGGATTGATTACAGTTCTAAGCTTAGCTGGCTGCCTTGCAACATGTGTTCACTAGGAGAGTGTTTAGTGGATCAGTTTCAACTCATCACCACTATAAACTACTAAAATAAAACAGCTCAGGGATCCTGTGATAATGGCAGTGGATCACCCTTGCCCCAAAAGATGAGGTTGATAGGGTTGGATAGTCCCTTTTAAATCAGTGCCATAAATCTATGACGCAGGTTTTGGAATGATTCTGCTAAAGGGCATAAAAGGAGTTTATTTTTCATGCCTGGGCTCTTGAAATATGTTACAGATGCTATGAAAAATAAGGATAAGAAGTGGGAGGCAAGAATTCTTAGATGAATGTGAGATTTAAGATGTTGCTTGCCAAAGAGTTTTGGTCTTGTTTTCTTGTATTTCAAAATTGTGTCACACAGGTCTCAATAGTGACAGTTTGAAGTTGGTTGAGTAGCTGATGAGAAAAACGTACGAATCTCTCTGGCTGGGCCTCCTCTCTGCTACTGTCCACCACTCACCCCAAAGGCCAAGTAGCCATGGGACCAGGCAGCCTCATATTCCTTTGGAATTCCAAACTGGTAATAGCAACAGGGAATATGGGAATCTGAGGGCCTTGAAAGTAACTTAAAATCATTAAATTGAGTTCTGTTTGACATGTTGAGATTTGCAAAGATTTCTTTCTTCCATTCTGGCTAAAGTCACTATGGATTAGAAGCCAGAATCCCTCCCTTTCTGCACTAGGAGTCAATTCTGAATGTTTTTCCTCCTTGAGATGCAGATTTAGGGAAACAAGGCCGAAGATACGCAATTCCATCCTGGCCTGCTTCTCAGCCCACCTTTGAGTTCAAGTTCCATGTCTGAAGAATTATTCTCTCCTTGACACTGGACCTTTCAAAGGAGAGGGAGCTTGCTAGAAGGGAAGGGTCTTAGAATAACCATCTCTCCTGAAAGATAGCTCACTGTAAACTTGACACAAAGGTTCCTAAGACAAAGCTTGCCACCCTCATTCACAGGGGCTGCTGGGCTGTCTGGAAGCACGTGATGACAGCTACCAGGAGACAGGCCACAGCTCTCAAAATGAATCCCTCAAGTCTCTTTCCGGCTGAACATCCCAGGTTCCTTCCACTTGCTCACTTATTAGGGTGTGGAATCTTCTTCCTCTCCTGTTTACAATCTTATATTACTTTTGGGCCACTGCCTCTACAAGTGGAGTCAAATACTTGACTCCAGGTGTGCTGTGACAGGGCCAGGTAGAGAAATGATAACCCCTGAGGCAGATTATTTCTACTCAGGGAGCTTGTGGAGAAAACCTAGACCGCACTCAGTAAATACTCTTGTCCACTCTTAGGATGCTTAGGTGTCCAAAAGGCCATTTTCACCTTTCCTGCTTTGAAGTTCCAGGGAGAACTTGATGTCACCTACTCTTAGCCTCTGACTTTAATTAAAAGGCATCTCTGACTCACCTAGAATCCTGCCGAAGGAGCCGAATGTCAGGCTGCACCTCAACCCTATGATAACTAGTAGACTTTTTTCATCTACTTGCTCGGGACATTCAAATTTACGTAGCCGGTTTATGGAATGAGCAACCCTCAAACACAACATGTTGGATTATTTTTTCCTGGCCCTGTGGACGTCTTGGGCAAATGGCATCTGTTTCTGATCTCTTTCGGTCGTTACAATGGTCTTATTTTCAGGTATTAAAAACTCCAGTCCCTTTTAAGTCTAAATCTTACCTCATATCCCTGCTCCCAGGCATCAGCTGCAGTCCCCCCAGAGCAGCAGTGGGGAGGGGCCATCCTTCCCCCTTCTGCTTCCTACCTTTGTCTTCTCTAGGATCTGGCTGTGGAAGAGGATGACAGAAACAGAACACCTGCACTTTAAGTAAGCTGGTGCTGTTTGCAATTCTCTTTGTTGTGGAGATCATCCAAATGCTGGCCTTCCTCTTCTGAAGCATTTCTGAGGACACCCCTCCCCCTCCGTCCCATCAAGTGCCTTCTTCTAATTCCACTATTTTCTGATTCAAGCACTGTACTTTTGTCTGATTTCTTATAAGTCCCCCTTAGGTCCTCTTCCAGAGGACCTGGGTTCTCCTTGATGAAATAAAAATTCTTATTTTAAGACAAGACAAGAAAAATTTAAACATATAAGTTTTCTCTGCCTGGTTTGACTTCCTCCCTCCCCTCTAGCGTGCATTGTGGATCTGCATTGTGTTAAGCAGACCTCCCCAATGGCAGGAATACTTGCTCAGCCATAAAGATCAGTTTTTCTCCTTCATTGGTCAGCCATGTAACTCCTTAAAAGATAACATTCCTTTTCAATCCTGTCAGGGGTCGCTATGACCCACCAGTCGCCTTGGACTTGCAGACATCTTTGGCGAACTTTACGTACAATGTCAATACATCATTTCCCTTCAAGATAGTGTTTGGTGCAGAACAGTCAGCTGACCTAGGGAGTTACTAGGTTGCACCTAATGGAAATTCTTATCTTAAATACTTACTCATGACCTACTCTTGTTACTAGCTATTATTACCTGTATTCTGCCTATTTTGCAAGATTATTGTTTCTTATGTTACCATATGTGTGACTGAACTTCAGAGAAAATTAATGATGATTAGGTGACCTGAAATGATTGACCACATATGAAGTCCTATAAGAGGGATGACTATAATAGTGTAACTCTAGACATGGGAAGAAACAATAAGAGGGGACCATTTCCTGGACCATAACAGACTAGCAAGACATGTGGTAGAAAGGCTTTTGGCCACTGTTGACAGGGCCTAGGCCAGGGATAGCACATTGAGTGGCCCATCAACAAAATCCTCACCTGACCTGGGAATGAGCATGCCTAGCATTGTGGGACAAATTGGTCACAAAATGCCTCCCAAACCTTGGTTGAAATTAAGACCAAAATGGAAGGGACTGTAAAATAAAGATTATTGCCCACCACCAGTTCTACAAGAGTCAAGCCATTGGCCATTGCAGTCACTGGTCTACAGTATAAAGCAGAGATCAGGATGAAGCACTCTGCTCTGGGAAATGATAGAAGTGGCCCTCAGATAGTGAAATATTTTCAGGAGAAATTTTTGATGAACCTGATTCTTGCATCTTCACCTGCTTTGAAAAGCACTGAAACCATTAATTGAGGTCTGTTCCCCGTGACTAGCAGCATACCCCTTCGTAAAAATCACACTTACACCGATCTCCCTCTTTACCTCTTGGGAACAGCTCTTGGAGCTCTCTGAGAGGCTGCCTCCTGGGTTCTAATCCTCAGGTTGACTCAAGTAAAGTTTTCCATTTCTTTGTTAGATTAACCATTGATTCCATTTTTGGTTGGTATCCTCATCTTCTCAGGTGTCCTTCTGGGGTCTTATGAAGATGATGACAGCATGGTGGCCCTCTGTGATGTCAACTTGGCCCATGGGCAGTGAGCACCCTTGTCCACCACAGGAGGAAGTGTGGCTTGCTTCCACTGCACTTCTCTTTTCTTACTCAGGCAGCTCTAACCAGTCCCTCACCTTACATCCTTGCAGGTGAGAATCAAGTACCAACTTCCGTGTTCTTCCAGGTTTTGGGGACATGTGTCAAGCTGTCTTCCTCTGGTCTCACAGAAGTCCTTTCACTGGCCTCTCTCTCCTCTTAAAGCATTTCAGTGTAGGCTGACAGTTCCTTCTGGAAAGTTCTCTGTGATCAATCACCTTGATACTAATTCTTTGTTGAGCTATACTCAACATTTTTGTAATTTTCTACACATATGCTAAACTTCAATAGAGAAGTTTATTTAAACATTTAAAAATTTATCTTGAAGGGGAAGAGTATAGCTCAGTGGTAGAGTGTGTGCTTAGCCTGCACGAGGTGCTGGGTTCAGTCCCCAGTACCGCCATTAAACAAACAAACAAACAAACAAACAAACCTAATTACTGCCCCCCAAATTTATCTTACATTGGCAACTACAACTTAGCTTCAAGTTGCCTAGCTACAACCCCCAGCAAGCTCAGGAATACACCCCCCCACACACATACACAGACACACACACAAAGGGAGCTGCTTTAGCTACATGAGGATCTGCTATAAGGTTTCTTTAAAGCAGTGGTGAGCAGCGCACTTATGTGACCTGGGGGTTCATTTGCAATCATTATTAACCAAAATAACGAGGCAGTCTCTGTGTACCCTGGAGAGTCTAACAGAGGAATTAGAGGTTTTCAAGGGCTGCAAGCTGCAAGCGAAAGAACTCAAGCAGCTAAACGGCTTGTGATTTGCTAATCAGAATACTAGGGTATTTGTGTTTTTTTGTTTTGTAACTTCAGACTTGAACAGGTCTTTTAAAACCAAGATACAGATCTGACCTCTTTTGTTGAACTCAAGAAGAATCAGTTGGACTGGAGAGTAAGCAAAGTGAGTGAAGGATGCCTCATCACCTCCAATAGACATAAACTTCTGTGTATATGTATGTATGTATATGTGGATATACAGATTTTTGCCTTATTGCTTAAATACTAAGGATAGTGACAAATGCCTTAGATCTTTTGTGCCTTGCCTCTCATTAATCACTCCCTCAGAGAATGTGTCTTACCCCAAAAGAAACAAAAACTTCCCTTTTGGGAGATGATTCTGCTTTTCTAGCTACTAGCAATTTTCTTAGCAATTGTCCTGTAAACCCTGTAGCCCACCCTGACTATTCTCGGTATGTGGCAGTACCACACTTCGGTCAAACATCTCTGCCTTAACCTAGAGCACCTCTTTATCTCATTGGATGACCTTGAAAGTCAAGCCATGTCCTTGTCATCTTTGGGTGTTTCTTTTTAAAGTGAGAAATACTGTTAGAGAAGGTGACCTTCTGAGACAGCTCCCCATGTTTTAACATGAGGCACACCAGCTATGTTCTGTGAAATAAGCAACTTCCCCAAACACCGACCCTTATTCATCATTAGGGTTTTCACAGAGTGGTAAAAGCCACCCTTTAAAGTTAAAATAGGTTAACCAAATTTGCCGACTACTCACTTTAGTGTACTGTATTGCTGTGTAATTTGAAAGGTAGAAAGACACAGTCTACTGGCTTAGAGAGAAGAATATAAGAACTTGCTCATAGGTTGAGGATTTTTTGATGAGTTATAAACCGGATTTCACTCACAGGGGCAAATCTCTCTTGTAATCCTGGAGGCGTTGTTTAAAAACGAAATGCACAGTAATCTTAAGCACAATTGTTTTGACATTTTATCAGCATGCAATTAAAATCCTTTTGTCTCAGGTGCTGGCTCTAAACTCTTGAATAGATAGAAGCCCAGGAACTGTGTTATGCATTTCAGAAAGAAGAAATTAATTTGATAACTGGTACAGTTCCGTCCCCAGGAGGGAGTGAGCAGTGCAGTGCTGCGCTCTGTTGGGCTGCTGCAGAAACATACACGATGCATTTTGTTTGCCTGCCAAGAGTCTTCCCTAGGAAATGTCTCCAGTCACATCCTTGGGAATAATCTGGCTGCTTATTCAACACAGCGGCTTCTTACAGCCGAAGGGCAAGAGAAACCCAATAATCTATGCAATAGAACAAAAACTAAAATATTTTAAAACTCCTTTGGTGGATGCTGAATATTTATACCCCCCTCCAAATTCATATGTTGAACCCTCTCATCTCCAGCGTGATGGTATTTGGAGTGGGTCTTTGGGAGATAATTAGGTCATGAAGGCACAGCTCTTGTAAATGGGATTAGTGCCCTTATAAAAGAAATACTTTTTTTGGCATTGACTGAAATGATCACATGATTTTTATCCTTTATTCGGTTAATGTAGTATATCACATTTATGGATTTGTGACTGTTGACCCATGATTGCATTCTAGCGATAAATCCCACTTGATCATAATGTGTGATCCTTTTATGATGCCGTTGAATTTGGTTTGCTAGTGTTTTGTTGAGGATTTTGCCTTCAGCTGGTTCTTGGATCTTGGACTTCTCAGCCTTCAGACCAGTGAGAAATAAACGTGATCTACTTCTGGTCAGTGAAATATAAGAGCAAGTCAGCTGGAGGGAAAGATTTTCCTCCCTGATAAGAGCAAAAGTGCAGAAGAAGAAAGTTCCATTTGTCCACTCATCCCTCCCTGCTTACGGGGCAGACATCTGGTAACTGGCAGGGGTTAATTCTCTGGGTGAAACCACTGAACTGCTGACCACCCCTGGAAGAGCTAGCTCTGAATTTCTTGTTGTTTGTGGTTTAAGCTTCTGTGGTTGACTATTCTGGTAATTAGAGCTGAATGCATTTCACCAGTACAGATGGTCTCAAATCTGGGTAGGAGGTAATGCTTCCTCACACCACAGCCTAGCGGAGTGTTAGAACTGGCTGTCCTACCTTCTGTTAATTCTCTTAGTTGCTACTTTGATTGCTCAGTGATCTAAGAGCCCTAAGGTTTATAGTTCAGTAAGACTCAGAGATGTGTAAAAGCAGACTGTACTTCCGAGCCGAAGGTGGCCTCTGAAAGCATGGTTTGAATGACACCAACATCCTCCACCCAGCACATAAAATAAAATAAAACAAAATAAAATAAAATGAAATGAATTTCCTTATATCCTGCTTTCAGGTCTGAAATTTTATTGGTACAGATTAACTTTTGCAGGGTCTTCAAGAGTCCTTTCTTAAACTACATATTTTCTTGTGCAGAGACTAGCATCTTACATTCTGTTGGCTCACATGTTAACTGAGATGGGGACAAAATGAACAGAATCTTAGGATCGATGAGTTGGTAGGGATCTGTGAGTCACCTGGCCTCACATCTTTTGGAGATGAAAGTTCTACAGACAGAGAGGTTCAGTAGTTTTCCCAGGTAGTGTCCACCTTAGAGCCAGAACCCCGCTTTGTAGATGTCCAGCCCAGGGGGGTTTATACTCTCCTGTCACCCTCAAATTAAGTGTGTGAACAGCACATTTTACAAGCCTGGAGGAACTTTGCTGCAATTTCTCTATCTGGGTCTGAGGCCTATGGACTTGAAGCTCCGTTGGAGTCATTTTTGCAGTTGGGGATGAGTGGCGTGGGAGGGGATGAGTGGCATGGGAGGAGCTGATGGACCCTGGAGGGAGCACACACGTGGCCAGTGGTCTCAGGATTTTGTCAGGTGTGAGCCCGCTCTTGTCCCCCATCTACTGGAAAGGGCAGGTCCTTCTCTCCCTCTTCCCACCTCCTTTCTGACTTATCTGGTAGATTAAATACATGTTCATTTTTAACGAACAACTCATTTCATGTTCTGACATTTGTTAGCCCATTTAACAAATGTCATCACGTGCTATATTGACAATAACATCACCTTCTCCAGAGAAATCTACTTCTGAGATTTATCAAATTCATCACTGCTCTGGACTCTTATTAAAGTTTTAGAGGCTTGATCATTTCTATGGGATCTTCAAATGAAAGTGTTTCTTAAAATGTTAGGTCAAATTATTCAGGCATATTCCCACATTTTTTGCTGAGCATGTAAGGATCTATAAAGAAATGCCTGCATCATTTTAAGAAATTCTGATCTATAAAAAAGCAAGAATGTGTTGCAATGTCAACGGTAATTAGTCTCTGCTTTAGACATGCAGTTTTAAAATGTATTTTTTCAAAAGAGCCACATTTGTGATTGTTTTAGTTGTTTGCTTTTGCAAAAACAACTATACAGTGCTTCAATTCCAAACATTTCTAAGACCATAAATCGTGGAATGGTTTCTGTGTTCTCTTGCCCTCTGGTGGTTAAACTGAGACCTTCCTAAGAAACATGTCAATAAACAACCTTATGGTCACCAGTGTACATCCACTGTCTTGCTCATTCTCAGATCTATTTGACACAAGCCTCCTTAACAGTCTTTATGCCAGAGATAAAAATTTAGCTTTAGACCCCCACTTCTCATCAAGATATCCGTGACCCGATGGTTCCAGCACAGGAGATGCATCCATTCTCAAGCATCTTTTGTATTTACTCCCTGCATCCTATGATTAGTGCCTTATTATAAACTGTACTATTTCTGAATTGTCTCTACTGCATAATTTAGTAGATTTTTCAGTGTGTAAACATAAGCTGTATCATGCTGTCTTGGTTAGTAATTGCTTGGTGTTTGTCTTGTTTTCCCAGTGTGACTGACAGTTCTCTAGGCCTTCAACCCCATCAACTGAACTCAAAAGAGGCCTCAGCCAAGGAAACTGAGACCTCACACGTCCTCTAGACTTCCCTGGAGTCACGAGGGGGCCCTCGTTCTTGTGGCGACCCCACTATTCCCAGACACCCTCCGGTCTTGCAGTGGTCGAGATGGAGCAGTGCACTTGGGGCAGGCCAGGGGAGCCCAGCAGAGGCGAGCGAGCCAGCTCAGAGTCTTAGGCCTGATTGCCCCCCCCACCTCCTGCTGGGGCCGACCCCCAGCTGATGTTAGCCTCTGCTATGCCCCAGACGTTGCAGCTCTCTCCTCTTCCATAGAATTCTCACAAGTCTGATGTCTGGGATAGACTCCACAGTGACTGCTGTCCTTGCATTTCTTTTTTGCCATTTATATCTAAATTGGAGTTTGCGTTATTCTGTCTCCTTGTTCTGAAGATACAAGCTTCTCTCTCTGTATTAATCTGTACTTTTTCTTCCCCCAGAGGGTGGACAGATTTGAATTTGGGTGGCCGGCATTAATTACCCCATGAGAAAGTTGCAGAAGTTCTCTTCTCGTTTTTGTTTTGTGTTGTTTTCTCGGTGAGGATAGAAAACAAGACAATCAGCTGGATGAGGATGGGGAGGGGAGGGGAGAGGGTGTGGATAGCTGTCTGGGGAGCGGAGACTGAAGGACGTCCGGGGCAGTGTGACTGCCCAGGAAGGCACCGCTTGTGGTCTGTGGTAATAAGTTTAGAGTGAGACCAGTCAGCATGATTGTGGGCTTTCCTCCAGCCACGTCCAGTTCAGCTGCATCCTGTTGTGGTTTCACGAAATGAGTACAAAGAAATGTGCTGAACAGATAGGAGGGAAACTTCAAAGCACTCCTGTGAAGCACAAAAGTAGAGTTGAACAAGGAGGGAGACAGGACACGTTCTTCAGTTTAGACAATGCAGCACCAGGGAGATGCCAGTTCTCCCCAAGCTAATACATACATTTATTGTTATCATGTTAAGAGTGGCCTTTTTTCTTTTTTTTCTGGAATCAGAAAAGTTGATTCTCAAGTACATAAGAAAAGTGAGCAAGCAAGAATACTCAGGAAAACCCTGGAAAAGAGGCACAATGGACAAAGAACATGAATAAGCTATTCAAACAAGAAAAAAAAAGAAAAGAAAATGGCCTTCACATATCTGGAAAGCTACTCAGTCTTGCTTATATTAAGAGAAAAGTGAGTTAATAAGTATTTAAGAATGAGGGGGTGTATATGGCTCAGTGGTAGAGTGTGTGATTAGCATGCACAAGGTCCTGGGTTCAACCCCTAGTATCTCCATTAGAAAAAAATTATTTTTTAATTTTAAAAATATGAATGCTCATTTATCTGATTGGCAAAACTCAAGAAGTTTGATAGCGCCCTCTGTGGGTGAGGCTGTGGAGAAACAAGTGCTGTCATAATTGTTGGGAATGCAAAAGCCTCTATGGAGAGTAATTTGGAATTAACTAACAAAGCTACATTTGCATTTGCCTGTTAACTTAGCAGTTCCACTTTTAAGAGTCTCTATAAATTCAGAACAATGTGTTCAGGGAGTTATTCACGCTGACATTATTTGTGGTAGCAAAACATTGTAAACAATCCAAATGTCCATCAACAGGGGACTTGTTACATAACATAAAATAAAAAACAGAGCAGCTGTTTAAAAAGAAAAGAAAAGAAAAGAAACAGCTCTCTAAAAGCAAGATTCAGAACCAAAGATTAAGTAGATAGATAAAAGGTAGGTATAGAACACTACCTTTTGTGTAAGGAGGGAGGAGAAATAAGAATGTTTGTTTATTTTTACCCAAAACAAAATCCTTGGAATGATAAGTCAAAAATTAGTAAAAAATGGTTTCCTAGAAGGGGCAGGAAAAGTGACTGAGAAGACAGAGATGGAGGTGACACTTCTCTAAATATACTGAACAATGTAAACATCTTACAAATTTAAAAATAATAATAAAATAAAGTGACAGAGGGAAATAAAAGCAAACCCTGACATTGAGCACAAGTTATGATTATTACTTTTTTAATGGATGCACTGGGGATTGAACCCAGGACCTTGTGCATGCTAAGCACATATCCTACCACTGAGCTGTAACCTCCCCAACCCTCCAACAAGTTAATATCATGTGAATAACAGATGGAGGGACCACATGCCTCTTCTGGTTGACCTTCTACTTGTGAGCTCCCCAAGCCAGGCTTGCCCTTCACACCCAAACCATGGAATGCTGTAGAATTTGCACAACTTGCCTCAGTTACATTTACTGTCTGATGGCTATCTTCTCCCGCTGAAGAGCCAGCTCCACAGGGCAGAGATCGGTATTTGTTTTGCTCACTGATGTATCCAACCAGCCTACATACGCAGTGTCTGGCACATAGCAAGTGCTCAATAAATATTTGCTGAATGAATGAAATGCCTTGTTGCCAAGGAAGCCATTCCTTGTATGTGCTTATTTTAATGCCCCAAAGTGAGTAGCTGGCTGGCACAGGAATTACTAAATAGATATTTTTATCTGAGCCCAGATGTTTTTTAGCAGGACTCCAATTACACGTGTGTCCTCGCTGTTGTTACTCACGTCTGGCCAGTAGCCCAGGACCCCACAGTTGTGACTGTCTACAGCTGGCAGTCCCTGGCAGCTGAGACATTGCCCAGGCTCGTACTGTGTCGAACGTGGCCCAAACTGCCGAGAATTTATCCTCCTTCCTCCTTTGGTGTACGTACTTCCAGCCAAGCTGCTTTGTAGATGTTTCAGAGGTATCTCTCCATTTCTCTGTAGTCAGCTTATAATGACAAGTAGTGAAGTTTTGGATTCAGGAAGAAATAAATCTCTCTTTTTAAAATGACTGTGTACAGATAAATTTCTTTTTTTTAATTTTTAAATTGAAGTGTAGTTGATTTACAATGTTAGCTTAAGGTGCACAGCTAAAGGATTCAGTTATACATATACATACATATATTTCAGATTCTTTTCCATTATATTTTGTTATAAGAAATTGACTTTAGTTCCCTGTGCTATACAGTAGGTCCTTGTTGTTTCAGATAAAGCAATTTCTCTCGGTAGGTCGGATTTCATAATAAAATGGACAGATCTGACTCTCACTAAGAATAGCATTGGCCTTCCCACATTCCTCTCCCATCATTTCATTCTCTCCACTAAATCTGCTAAAAGGCTTCAGTTTGGAGTCCACATCCCGGAAAATTTTGCCGGGCAAGTGAGATGTGAGTTTGAACTAACTAATCTTCTTGGGGCTCAGTTTCCACAACCTCAGCAACACCTTCCTGTCGAGTTGCTGGAAATACTAGCAAATATGTATGTCCCTCTCCTTGGCACAGTGCTTGTTCTTTGCTGAAGGGTGTTAGTAATAAAAATAGGCCTCCTATTCCCACTAAAAATTTCAGGAAAAAGAGATTGGAAGGAAATATATCAAAATGTGGACAGTTGTAGCCGTGGGGTAGTGAGATTATTGCCCTTTTTATCTTGGTGATTTAAACTTTACTGGACTTATCATAGCGTGTACGATGATTATGTAGTAGCTTTATAATCAGAAAATGATAATTTGTATAATCCTTAGCAGTTAAACGATTCTCAGTTCTCCTTCCATGATTCTGTCCCATTTCTCAATAATAATTCATAACAAAAATCAAGCTAAATGAGAGAGTTCATGTCGGTTCATTTCATTAACAACCAAAGGAATGAATATGAACACACAGACCCCAGGCCTGCAAAAAAAATTCAGTCTGCAAACAAATGTGAATAAGAATGAAAACCTAAGATTTGATCTTTGGCACAAATGTTGAAGTCAGAACTTTTAGTACCTAGTGAGCAAATGGCAAGTCTTTTAACGTGTTGGCCAAGAAGAACAATCTCAAGTGCCCTCTGTGAACCAGAGAGCAGAATAGGGGTGCACATCTCCTGTCAAGAGTGGTAGCCTATTTCTGCAGGGAAGGAAGGCATTCTCTTCAGTCCCTTCTGGAGGGTCATGCATGAGGCAGCGGGGCAGGAAGCACTCACCCACACTATAGCCACTCTCGGTGATCAGTGCAGAAAAAGATGTCACAGCCAGCTTGTGCGTGCCACAATGGGGTGACTATGTTTGTATCACCTGTTGGGAGGGGAGGGGCAGGGGACAGTTATCAGAGATTGGAACCCAAGAGGGAAGGAAGTGGCAGAGTTGGTGGTGGCTGCTCTTCAGACCTACCAGCCACTCCCACCTCCACTTGCAGGGGCTGTGGTCAGGGTTGCAGGAGGAGCAGTGGGGACAGAGGAGATATTTGTGACCGCTCAGACCTTGTGCATGAGACTTCTAACCACTCTGCATTTCACAACTGAAGAAATAGGAAGTAGGGGCTTAGAAGGGCACATGGGGCTGGCAGCCATATACTCAAGACTTCAAAGAGCAAGTATTTTGCCAATACAGGTTCTCTGGTCCAGTAAGTGAAGATACTGAAATGCATTTCCTGTGCAGCTTCTTTTATAGTTTTGACCAGTCTTTTTACTCTGGACATCTGCAGTGCTTGCAGAGCTCTGCAGCCTGAAAATCAAAACCAACCATTCATCTTGCAGTCCCACCATGTAAAGCAAGGGTCAGTTAGTTACCCAAATTGATATTGATTGCGGGGAGAATTTTCAACAGAGAAGAGATGGCAAGCCATCTTTGTAACTCTGGCAGTGCCCTCAGACTGCTGAGATAGGATTAGGAGGTTAATAAAGTAGTTGCACTCATCTATCTTCTGCAAAACACATCTAACTTTTCCCCTTTCCTTCATGTTCATCCATTTCCACTATGAGCAGGTTTTAAAATGTGCTTCTTCCTCCCTCTCACTTAACTCTTTTAAAAGAAAAACCTGAGCAACGTTCCCAGGAAGAAAGTTAGCACCTTTCTCTGCTCAAGGCCTCCCCTGCTTAGCAGGTGGAAATTCCCAGGTAAGAGGGCCTGCCCATTTGGCTGCAGCTCAAGAACTGAGGTTGGGAGGCTTGTGCCTATCGAAGGAAAATAACCAGTTGGATCAGTGGGTGAGAGAGGAGGGCATACGTGGGGCTAAGACAAAGAAAAGGTCAGCTGCGTGTGGTCATGAGATCAGAGTGGATGGAGTAGGCTGGAAGGTTCCGCGGGGAGGCTTGCCACAGAGGATTTCAGCCCCACCCCAGCCCAGGAGCAGGATGACTCAGCATTTCCTATTATTTTTATGAAGGCCAACCCGGGAGGCCCTAGTAAGGCTGACTGCTGTGAAAGCCGGACTGTTCTTCTGGCCCCTGGTTCATTCTAGGTCTACGTAGTCAAAGACTGTTCCGGAAGGGATATGTAATTCATCCCGGTATTTAATGCTCTTTTTTGTTTTACTTTTTTTTTTTTTTTAACTTAAGCTAATAGCCTGAACTGGTCAGGCTTTGGGCTGACATCAGCTGCTTTATCCAGTCACAATGTCACATAATAATAAGTAACCTTTATTGACCTCTAGGTGCTGATTTTGTGAAGACCATGCGGGAACATCCCTTTTAATTCTCAGAAGCTACAAGGTAGGTTCTGTTATTATCCACTTGCAGATGAGAACCCTGAGGCTTGGAGATGTTAATTGCTCCAGGACCCAGACTCTTAAGCCTTTTCACTGCCTGTGCTCTTCACCTGTACCCTCTACTGCCTGGCAGAGATTAGAGATGGTTTGTTGAGCTTAAAGACAAATCGGAAGGTGATCATAGGCAGGACGGCATGGAGAAAATGAAAACCAAACAGTGAGCCAGGAAGATGATGAGAAGTGACGAGCAGAGAGCAGAAAGCACGTGCTGGTGGTAGAAAATCAAGGTGGGAAAACCGCTGGCCCTTTATGGCCATGTAAGGACCTTCCTAGAGATCTGTCTACCTTGTTAACATCTCTTCACAATGGACATGTTTTGTTATCTCCATCTTCCATATTTGTGTTCCATGGATTTACTACCTAGATCAGTATTCTTCCAGCCACCAAGGGACAGGCGTGTATTCAGTGTGACCAGGGAGGCATCTGTCATACTGTTGCCCCATGTCCTATCCTCCCAGGGAATTTACTATTAAAGTAACTGGGGGTGGGGGTTCGGGAGGGACAAACTGGGAGTTTGGGATTTGCAGGCACTAATGACTATATATAAAAGAGACAAACAACAAGGTCCTACTATATAACACAGGGAACTATATTCAATGTCTTGTAATGGCCTATAATGAAAAAGAATATGAAAGGGAACATATATGTATGTGTAACTGAATCACTATGCGTACACCAGAAACTAACACAACATTGTCGACTGTACTTTAAATAAATAAGTAAGCTAATAAATAAAGTAACTGGGTGGGTGAGGCAGCAGAGGCTGGGCATTGTCTTCAGAAGGCTATTGCTGAAATGTACATGTCCTCAAAGTCAAACTCCCTGAAGGCAAGGATTTTGTCGTCTGTTTCATTCCCCTGGGAATGCAGAAGGTGATCTTTATCTGTTCAATTAAAAATGTATAAATACATGAATGAAAGAAGGGAACAGGAGGCAGAATATCCCTTGAAGCCTTTGTTGGTACTCTTGTCTAGCTGATTCACTGACTTTACAAAGTAGAAAATGCAGAGGATTGGGTCACAGGTAATATGTTGAGGGGGAGACGTGATTAGGGATGGGAAACTTTGGAGCTTGGGGCTCTAGCGCTGAGATCCTGGAGAGGGGGTGGGAAGTGTAAACTTCCCAATCTCCTTTCCTCACCACTTCAGTATCAGTATCTCTACACTGTCCTCTCAGCCTTCCTTCAATTTCAGGAGCGGAGTCCTGATTTAACAAGGCTTAAATCTCTAGTTTTAGGCCTTCTCCAGCATTTTTAAATCTTTCTTTCCACTGACAACTTCAGGCAAGTGCAGCTATTCCTTCTTAAGAGAAAAACAAAACAAAAACCAAACCTGGTTTGATTCTGTGGTTCTAAGCCATCACACTATTTCTCTTCTTTCATTTACTGTTAAATTCAAGTAAATGATCTGTACTTTAAATCTTCATTTGTCCAGTTCCTGATACCTCTTTCTCCCTTGAAATCTGGCTTCTGCTTCTGCTTCTACTACTTTATTAAAACATTCTCTCTTTCGCTTTTATAGAAAACAAACGGAGCAGAGGACTACATCGGAACCCCAGTTGTCCCTGCCATTCCTTTCCTGTTCTTCCTTTTATGATTAAAACTCTGCCATACGAGTGCCCGATTCGAGACTACAATTCCCAGTGTCTCTTGCAGCTGAATGTGGGTATTTAGCCACAACTGAGGGCAACTTCCTGCTTCCCTGAAAAGCCAACTGCCCTGTCTTTCCTGCTTTGTTCTCACTATTTCTTAGAGAAGCAGCCTTGGAAACTCGGTTGTCACGAGGGCAGGGCTGGCATGTTGAGGACAAGAGAGCTGCTCCTCCAGCCCTGGACACATCACCTCTGGGTCTTTTCATGGGAGAGAACCAAACCTGTGCTTTTATCATTCTATTCTGGGGTCTCTTTGTTAAGCAGCTTGGCAGGTACTCTAATAAACTCCTTTTCTTATTAAAAAAGTAATGTATATTCACTGCACAAATTTAGTGATAAGTAGAAAGAAGGTGACACCAACAGTTCCTGTTGATTATTCTCAGTAGCCTGTGCCTAATTGCCTTCTTTTCTTTCTCCCACCCACAGTCCTGGGCATAGCGCAGAACTAAGCTCTCTCTTGTCGCACTGTCCTCAGTCACAGAGAACGGCTTACACAGTGATTGATTTGGTTGTGTAGTCATTAATTTGTTCATTCATTCAAAAATATCTATTGAGGACCTCCATTCCGCTAAGTGCTAGCATTACCTACCTTCTGCTAAAAATGAATCGGACATGTCTCCTAACCCCCGCCCCTTCAGGAGATCACAAGCTGGAGAGGAGAAGGAAAGGCAGATTACAAACAGGCCCTTTGAACACAGTGTGCTGAGCACCTTGATGGCGCTCTGCATGGCGGGTGACTTGCTGGTGTGGAGGGCCGGGTGGTGAGGAAGGCCTCCGGGTGAAAGAGAGCCTGGTGAAGAAAGGTGGAGAGGAGGCGGGATGAGGGGAAAGGGAGATGATGCCAAGCTGAGAGGTCAGCCAGGAACCAAAAGCCTGGATTTAGAAGCTTTCAAGGTGTTTGCAAGGAACTACAGGCCACCTGGTGCTGATACTGTGAGACGCTGAGCTGAGGGTGGAGATGTGCAGAGGAGAGGCCCTGCTGGCTTTGTCAGGCTAAGAAGGCTTTCCACCGAGGAGGCCTTAATGAAGGGTGCTCAGCAGAAGTGCGGACTTGTCAGTCCACCTTTTTGATAGGGTACTCTGGGCGGTGGGGTGAAGGATACATTTCCGGGAGGTAAACAAGAGTGGTGATGGGGGACTGTTTAGGAGGCTCTTGGCAGTGGAGTAGGTAAGAGGTGGTGATGGCTAGATCCAGGTATTGGCAAGAAGAATGAAGAAAGAAATGAATTTGAGAGACATTCAAGAAACAAAACGGGCATGGCTTGGTGACAGGAGAAAATAAGAGAAAGGATCAAAGCTGAGTCCCTGGCTTCTAGTGTGGGTGCTGGGCGAGTGAGATGACAGTGTTAGTGGAGCCATGAGGTAGCTTATTGGGAAGGTAAGGAAGCTTGCCCTTCAGGCCCCCTTCCTCGCAGGGGCCCGTTCAAAGGCTCTGGGACTGGCCCTAGCACTTTTGCAGTCTTAAATCTGTATTCTTTATCTTAAAGAGGGCCCATACCTTCTTTAAGCTGGTATTAGCTTCAGACACACAGAACCTGAATCCTCTTTCAACTCGTTGTGCTGATTACCCCTAGATTAATTTCCCTCAGAGGACCATTGACATCAGGTCAATCTTCTCCTCAAAAGCTACTGCCATCACATCAGTGGTCTTTTACCAGCTTGGCGGTTTTACCTTGGGGTTGCCTTTTACCTCCTCTCTCTGAGAGAGTCTCCAACAGATGTTGATAGTTCCAGAACAGTAACACGACCTGTCTGCCAGAGAGCAGGGACGTCATTTACACACGTTGGAAGCCTTTGTCCTCTTAAGACCCATCTGCTAGTAGAGCTGCTTTAGCTGCAGTTACTGTTGACCCTTGAACAACACAGGGTTTAATCTAGCCGGCCCTCCGTGTCCTCAGTTCCTCAGCATCCGCAGATTTAGCCGACCAACAGCCTTGTGCCACCGTAGTATTTACTATTGAAAAATACCCTCGTGAGAGTGGACCTGCGCAGTTCAAGCCAGTTTTTCAAGGGCCAGCTGTATTCTGTTGAACTTTGTTTACTACCCGTCTTCTTGCTTCATTTGTATACCAATTGTGGTTCTTCTACCTTAAATACGTGTCTAATCTGAGACTTATCCCTTCAGTGGTGACCGGTGTCTTGAATGTCTCGTGCCCACAGAAAGCCTTTGGCATAAGCAAACATCAGTCTGTATAGTGGTTCTGGTATACATCCAACGTGATTACACTGTAATATTCTGTTTTTGATAATGTAGAGTCAAGGGCAATTTGCACTCTAGAATGTGCATTTGAGGCTATAAACCTTTGAACATTAGTTATTCAATAGCTCTGCTATCTGGGCTATGACCTGCTGTCATCTGCAGTCACAGAGCTGTCCTGGACCATCCTCTCATCTGAAAGAAGAGCTGTCTTCATTGTTCGCTGTCTTGCCGCCGGATAAATTACTTCCTAAGATTTTTCTGCTCTCTGAGCAGCTCCTAAACTGGGTATGAATAATCTGATTTCACTTCTTAAGCTTTTTTCCCATAATGTCCCTCCTGCTTCAACAGATTCTCACTCAGACGCATGAAAATTGGACTCATAATATCAATTTATTATCTTAGCAATCTCAGTAAACGAGGCAGTCCCACCATGTTCTTTTTTCTTCAGGGATAAGACCGGCCCTGCATATTCCTATAAAAGAACACACTTGTGTGACTGCATGTTACAAAAAATTGCAGCTTGGTTAAAATTTCCACTGACACTCCTTCAGTTTTTCTTGTAAGGAGATAACTTATTATGGAGAAATGTTGTTAAATAAATAAAATAAGGATAGAATGTTACTGTGAGGAGACAGTTCTGAGCCACAGAGCCCAATGCTGATGTTTCATTCTGGCTCTTTCTCATCTCCACCTGCTCAGCGTCTTCATCTTCCTTCAGTCTGTCCATCTCTCTGGTCCATGTTGGCAGATACAAATCAAAGGTATGATGAGGCCGACAGCACCAGCAGAGGCCCAAGGACTTCTCTTGGATAAAAGGATGAGGGTCTACCCACCGTAATTCCGCAAAAGGAGTTATGAGCCAGTGAAAACAAAACAAAACAAAAAAATGATGGTTCCAAGTGATGTAGAAATAGATGCAACCTGGGGCAGGAGGAGGACTTGGGAGCCCAATTCTCTTTTGGGAAAATAGTTTTCTACATTGTAATTCTCTTTTGTTAACCTGAGCTTTCTGATCTCTGTGGCCACTTTGAAGAATTCAGGGATGGCTTGCGTTGGTGGTTGGAGTAAAGCAGAAAGGGAAGCCAGGAATGTAGTTATGAGATGGGAGAGATGACCTCAGAGCTGAGCCTGTCTCCATGCCACTCCAAGGGGACAGACAGAGGCCAGTGCAGAGCTGGGAGCAGGCAAGCAGTCCTCAAGGGTTCTCGGAAGTACCTGAAAGGGGAACCTGATAAAAGATAAACTTCCTTTTTGTCACACGTGACATGAGCTCTGATCCTTTTTGCCCTTGGAAGATTAGATAGGTCTTTGCCATCTTGCCTGCCCAGAATAAACACTGATGAGCTGACATCAGGGAGTGGGGCTATTTTCCACCTCCCTGCCACACACTGACTCCCTCGAGCTGCCCTTCATGCCACTTCTGTCTCTTCAAGTGGGCGCTGATCAAGTGGGAGGAGAACACTAGAAGGCATTTTACATAAGGGAGCAAGGAGGATGTCAAAGACTCACATCACCTGTTTGCAGCTTGGTCCCCCCAGAAGTGGCCCTGGGCACTCATGGAGCCTGACCTCTGAAGTGGAGGATTCTCCTAGTGTCCTGTTTCATGTAGGTCAGCATCATGTTTCTCAGCTAATTGATACACACAGCCTCCAAAGGCCAGTGGGAGTGGAAAAGCCATGTCTCAGAGCTCCTTCAGCTCAATGTTTTACATAATTAATCCTTGAGATGGATGGGATTTATTGGGTTCATTTATTATTTCTTTCCTTTCTCCCTCTTTCTTCTCATCCTTCTTCTCTTCTCCCTCCCACCTTCTCTCTGCCCTCTGTCCTTTCTTTCTTGCATCCTTGGTCCTAGGAAGTTTTCTTGTTATCTTTCAAGCAGTGTGGCTGCTACTCCCAGTGTCCCATGTTCCCTGCAGTGGCCAGAAACCTTCTCCCATCATCAAAGGCTTAGAGAGCACAAAGTGTGCTAAGGAAGCTGAAGTCTAGCCTCTAGTTTACTGCTTAGAGCTTTTTGCCTCAGTAATGATTATATGAAGACATACAGCCTTGTTTTGCCTCTGTGTCCATTATATATTTTGAATTAAGAACCTCAATACATGGATATGTAAAATTCAAATTGATAACTCAGCATTAACAGCCTTGGACTTTTCCCTTCTCTCTGATCAATAGTACTCTGATATGGTTTATGGAGTCTACTTTCCTGTCTTGGAGGACAAGGATGCCATGCATCAATTTGGAAAGTTTTAGGTGAGATCACCTGGAAGCCAGGTTGCAGGGGAGGTGTAATCATTTATCTCTACTCACAGCTTTGATCCACCCGCCCTCCACCCAACCGTCATGTCTGCTGTCGCCCCCTCTTGTACTGGTGGGAGGGAAGTATCCAGGGCAGTAGGAAACTCCCTGGTCCTGACCTCTAGAATCAGTGTTTCTCTGCTGTCTGTATTTGTGACTAGGGTCTTAGGGGCTGCCTTCCTTGGTCTAAATGGGTGGGAGCAGAAAGTTCACAGTTAGGGAAGAAGTATTTGAAATAAAGAGAGAACAGACAAGTATCCTGTCTGTTGATTATGATCTTTTTTGAATCTCTTTTTACATGGAAGTTCCAGTCCTCTGACATCTGAGTTTCTTGGAAAGCACACACCTCCAGTGTTCTGTCCCTGACATAGATGTACTTGTTCCTAAGTGTTTGGTCCATTTTGGTGTTCTCCACATCCTAAGAGCTCAGTAAACATTTACTAAACAAACGATTCTTGCTGCCTCTATCAGTGTTGCGTTGGAGGTGCGAACACAATTTAATAGGAGAAGGTATTAGTCACCAGCCAGACATTTGGCCTTGTCCTCTTATTGTCTGTTCCTGTACGTACGTGATAAACAGATGGACAGGAATGTCCATAGCATTTTTAATCCTGTTTTCTCGTATTCATTTGTTCTGACCATCAAAAATCAGTTACCATGGCCAACTATACACCAGGCACTGTACCTGTGACTGGCACTTTATATATACATTCTCTGTAACTCTTGTAATAGTGCTGTTAAGGGATTATGTTCCTTTTTTATTCATTGGTTAATCCACTTAACAACTGCTAGGCTCTGTGTCAGATGGTAATGATATAGTAGTCAAGGAGACAGACAAATTCGACATTCACAATGCTTGGAAGCTGAGGCTTAGAGAAGTAACTTGTAGTTAGGGGACACACTGAGTCACCAAGCTAGGGTATGAATCTATGTGACTCCAAAACTCACGCTGTCTCCAAAAAATAGTGATAGTCAATTACAAAGAAACTAAGTGCCAGTCGTTCACAACTTCAGTCATTTCCAAACCTTCAGGCCAATCTCAGATGTTCAGTGTTATTGTCTCCATTTTACAAGTGAGGAAATAAGAGGTTGAATAACTTGCTCATGATCTTAGAGCCCGTCAACAGCAGGGCCGAGATCAGGATGCGGGTCATCCTGGCTCCCGAGCCCAGGCTGCCTCCACCTGACTGAGCTGCTGCCCCACGTAGCAGAGGAGACAGAGGTCCACAGGCCCTGCCCTGACGGAGCTTACCGGACAGTGGGCAAGAGAATCAACATACAATTACAGTTCAAAGCAGAATGGAGTAAAGCCACAAGGAGAGTGTAAAAGTGTTTGGGGGTTGAGGAGGGATTATTTTGGTCTAAGGAGTGCTTGAAAGTGCTCTGTTTGATAGGTCTACAGGGTATCTGTCATCTTTCAAGTAGGAAATAATAGATTATTCTGAGTGAAAAACATAATAAACGGACATTCGGATTATTTCACTTCCTTTTTTTGCTTAGAAAATATATTCATCATATGAAATTTATTGATTGGCTGACTGGGTATAGCACTGTAAGAAACACTTCAATTTCAGAGATGTTAAATTGCTAAAAAATGTAGATCTTAAAATCAGATACAGTTTTTTTTAAAGAAAAATAAAAGTATACCTTGATCTATGTTGAAGGTATTTTAAGTAGAGAAGAGTCAAAATATATTTACATTTTCATTGGGGCCCCAGTGGGGCTGCTATGGACAGTTGTACAACTTGTGTCCTATACAAAAGTACCCAGAGGAGGAGGTGGGAAGGGGTTGAAATCCAGTCTGCATTTCTCATGCCAAACAACGCTCCCCATTGCAAGACTGCCTCCCTCCCAAGAGGAAGGACATCTTGGTGCCTTTTAAAATTTTGTAGGAGTTTCAAAGGATTCTCTGTGGGCTAGCAGTGACCCTGGGTCCCCATAGCAAGAGCATGGATAACGGTGCTGTAGCAGCCAGGGTTGATGTGTGGTGTTTAATATGACAACATGTTTATTTGTCTACTAGAGATCTTAAAATACTGTAGGAGTCTATTAAATTTTAAATTAAATTTAAGATTAACTCAGTGAGTAGTACCATTGAAAAATGTTAACGGAAAACTTTATTGACTCCATGTTATTACATAAAAATAAATTGTAATGTGGGTAAAATGAAATAACTTTCAATTCTTGACTACATAATATTTTTATATATAACTTTAGGGGTTTCACATACCATCTAAATCCCATTTTTGGACCTCAGATTAGCATATCCATATTATAGTACAGAATGATTCAAAAAGAGTTGACAAATATAACTTGTTTATGTGTTTGTAGCATTTGTTTATAACAAGCATAAACATGTGGTCAAAACCTAATACTTTCCTGATGGCTAGACACTTAGAAGTTCACCCACAATTTGGCACATACATGATGTGTATTTACTGGTTACCGAGTAGCCCATTTTGGAAGGGTGTTCAATTCTTTTTGAATCACCTTGTGTCATTTAACAACTTCCTCTGAGAGAGGTTTAAATGGCAACTCAGCACCCCTAGTTTTGAGTGCTATTATGCTGTGAAAACATATTTATTGTGGCTCACTTTGCAAGATGACTTTTATGGGTTGGATTAATGGTGAACAGAATAATGCTTTAACGGATGATGATAATTTTACTTTAGATTTCAATGAGTGAAGGTGGTGTTACCTCCCCACCACAACACTCCCTCAAGATCAGATCCACCACACAACCTTTCACAGATCCAGAGTGTCTGAAAGTTCAGAGTTGTCATAGTGACCATGAAATGATGAGCTACTCCAGGGCTCATTCTCACAGACAGTGAAGTTTCCCAGGACAATGAGTCATTGTTAAAGCAGAGAGTGCCTCTAAATGGCTCCCTTATTAGACCGGCCAGTGTGCGACAGTAAAGCACGCAGTGAGCGTGGTTATCGTCACCAGCCAGAGGCTGTCTTCCATTTCACAGACTGTGTCGTGAAACTGTCATGTTAAGTGTTTATTTTCCTGGCCAAATGTCACCTTTAAGAAATATTTCATTGGAGAGTTTGCTGAGAGGAGACTGGCTTGGGATTTTTATCATGAGTTAGATGAATTTTGCTGTGGGTGGAAGGGGTGGGGGACCCTAACTAGTTTCCTAGTTGAAAATGCCCCATGATTTGACTGCAACCACATACAGGAGCTCCATCTGCCAATATAAATTAAAGTTGACTTTAACAGCAATATATTTATGTGGTCAGTTTAGAGAATAGCTCTTTACAAGTTTTCAGTTGACTCATTAATATGAACACTCATACTTGAATGTGTCATTAATTTTGAAACGTTTTATTTATTTTACTCACTATCAATGTTTTTCTTTTTGAAGGTATCAAATAATGGGGACTGATTAAAGTAGACTCTATTTCCTTAAATTTTTCCTTTGTTAAAAAAATGGGAATATGTACTCAAGGAAGACACGTTTTAACCATGAATGACAGCTGAATGCAAGAAATGTAGGGTGAGATCACCAGGGCACATGCCAAGCATCTGCTTCACCACCTAGAGCAGCAGGGATGAAAGTGACTGCAGGGGGGAGTTTGCATTTTAGGGATATTCACTATCAACGGTTCAGTGGGTGGCAGTTTTACTTGCCTTATTCACAGATTGTCCATAAATGTTTGTTGACATTTTATTCATTCAAAAATATTTCATGGGTGCCAATTATAGAGTTGGGTGGTTGGGATACAAAGATGAATAAGGCAGAGCCTCTGTGTGCTGCCTCCTGGGTAATTAGTGCTTCATGAAAGAGGCAAAGGGGGATGTGGGAGCATGAAGAAGGGAGGGATAAGTTCCAGCTACAGGATGGCCATGAAGTCTGGAAATGAAGACATAATATTTCACCCTGTATTACAATATAATATCAACAAATCATTTATTATATATTTTGCCTGTAGTTACAGACATGCTGGCCATCTGTAAGAAGATCAGGAAAGACTAAAGAAAAGATACTTGATTTGGGTCTTGAATATTGAAAGAAGTTCACCAGGTTTCGGGGAGGGGCCTGGAAAGACCTTCCTGGTTGAAGAAAATGTGTTTTTGGGGAATTGCAAGTCATCTTGTTTAGCTGGATTATAGAAGATGAGATAAAACAGATGGGTAGGAACCAGATTTCAGAGGATTTGTAAACCACGCTAAATACTATAGATGTTATACTGCAGGTAACCAGGGGCAGTGAAGGGTTATGAGCCAGGTAGTGATGTGATCATTTAATCAAAAAGTATTTCTGGAGTGTCTAGTACTTTTCAGACCAGTGCTAGGTGCTAAGCTACAAAGATGAATTAGATGCACAGAATCAAAAGCTAGTAAAGAAAACTTTAAACAAGTTAGTGTAAAGGAATTCACAGATTTTCTGTAATAATTATTATTATAATAGTAATAATTATTATTATAATAGTTATACTTATTATTAATATTACATTTATCGAGTATTTACTATTTACCAGCATGTGCCAAGTGCTAGCATGCACTGTCTTATTTAAGTCTCCCAATAACCCTTAGAAACACTTGCCATTTTATAGATGGGGAAACCGAAGCACAGAAATTTGGTAACTTGTCTCTGATAAGTGGTGGAGCCAGGGTTCAAATCCTAATGATCTGATTCCAGAAAATGCACTTTTCTACCACTAAGGGCTATGCTGCTTCTCCGTGACAGAAATTCTCTCTGATTTCTAAGAGCCTAAGAGCCACACTAGAGAGGACAATCCATTCTGCAGAAACAGAGGTAAGGTCTGGAAAGTCTTCATGGAGATAGTGATGGAATTTGCCTTATGGAAAATTGCTGTCAGCCTTGAGCTAGGCAAGGCTGGAAGTGGGAAGCTGAGGTAGGAGGCTAAGTAACAGTTGGTGGGAATCAGTGGGAATGAGGGGAGAGGACAGAATCCAGAGATATTTTAGATGTGAGACGGTTTATTGTGCTGGATGAAGTTAGGTTTCTGACTTAGATATCAAGGTGGATGGTAGAGCCATTAACCGTGACTGATGATGCCAAAGGAGAGACAGGTGGGCTTGGGCCAGGTAGAGTAGGTATGTACATTTTTAATTTGTTGAATTGAGGAGTCTGTGGGACAGCAAATGTCAGTAAAAATCAGTGATTGGATATACAGTTCTGGAGTTTAGGAGAAATATCAAAGCTTGATGTTGTAGTGGGTATCAGACTTGAAGATTTAAAAACTAATATATTAGTTAATTGATGGTATTTACTCCATCCAAAAAAATTGGGTCAAATATAACAAATGCATAATACCACCAGAAGGAATTTGTGAAGCTGGCAAAATGCATTACCCCATTTTAAAGAAAATGTGTAGGCAGGTATTCTAGCTTACGGGGCTGTGAAAAAATGGTATTGTAGCCCTGGCACACCCTTGGGCAGGGGAACACTGGGGATGCGGAGAAGGTGGATTAAGATAACAGATGTAGAACGTCAAAGAACAAAAGAAAAGAGCATTACTGAATATTACCTTCACAAAAGCATAAAAGTTGTTGGTTCCCCTCCTATTCTGAGAGTTCCTTGATCAGCCTGGGGCTTCTTAAAATGCATCCTAGGAAACAGAACTAGGAGACAAAGGCAAATTTGTTTCAATGGATGCATGAATGGAAATAATTTGAGACTAGAAGTTACCTCTCCTACAAAGAAGACTAGGCTATGG